TTGAGACCAGTTGAGTACATTTGCTGTAACTATTCTCTCACAGAGAATACCTGACTGGCAAAGTTGAATGCAAGTCCAAATCACAGCATGGCTTGAGTACAGCGCAAAGACAATCATATTTAACCGAATCTCGGCCACATCTACATGATATTACTCACAATCACGTGAAAATTTTTGAAAACTTCTGTGACGGCAATACGTTTTCTTGCATTTTCGCCTTCCTAGACGCCACCACGTTGGATCCTCCTTTAACCCTTTCGGACCTGGTGGTGGCAATTGCCACCATCAATTTAGAGACAAGCTGTGCTGGCGCAAGAATACCATTTTACTACTTATAGCTATAGAACGCTTCATGTAGCCTTTGTCTTCCAAATATAGCTTTGAAACCGCTTGTTTATTTGTTTTACCATCTGCAAAATATACATTTCTGTATGCAAGTGGATTGCAACTAATCAATACTTCGCGCCATTTTCAGCACCGTTTCTCGTTTATTAGCCAAAAAATAATCATAGTATTATCAGAATGTTCGAGTACAATGTTGAGAAAGTGTAACTGCTGATTATTCGCGGGTCCACATGTATCGAGGGAGATTTGAAAATCCAAAATAAACGCAAAACCAAAAAATTGGAAAATCAAAAAGAAATATTTTATGTGGTTGAAAAGGATTCAAACTCCGTCATGAGATTATTTATGTGGTAGTAAGTATAGAACAGTGGGAGTGAGGCTTCTCTGCTTACTCGGAAAAACTCAGGTCCGAAAGGGTTAAAGAGATTGCTTCAAAGCATCGCCTCTCCTCTTGATGCCTAAATTCAACTTTGATCTATAAGTGCCGTAGTGCAGCAGTAGGTACTGAGACCCTGTTTTTGTTCTACCCTTCGTACATCATATGTTGACTTTGATTCATTTGAGCTTGACGACATAGTTTCTTCACTATGCTTTTGCCTATGCTGCTAAACTGTTCCATGCTTTAGTCACTCTTTCGGTCTTCTGTTGCTAGTTTTTGCCTAAACAGTGGTGCTATGGCTGAGAAGGGGTCAAAAAAGGAAGTTTATTCTTGAAATAGGGCCTTATAAAGCTTTCGAAAGTCAAAAGCGATTTCATTTCTCAAAAGACCACAATCGGACTCGTGCCGGGCTCTGCTATTCAGTCGTATGCATGAGCTTGCATTAAAATTTTGATTCTTTTAGTCTTTACATCACTGCTTCTTACAGAGTATACTCACGGCGTTTTGTGACACTAATTCGGATTTTTCTATGGTTTTATGGGCACTGCTTTGGTTCTCTGGGAACTGCTGCCGCGAACAAAGCGAACCAAATACCCAACTAGAAAGTTTCTGTAGTTCCTCTCACACTTACATTTTATGTAGAGTATCTCTGTGGTATACTTATTGACATACTTGAAATTACAATATACCTTGAAAGCGTAATCGTTTAGCGCCCAAGATATGCTTGATCAATTATTTATATATCAAAGTATGTGAAACGCATCTTGACTTAAAAGCCGTTAACTCCTATTCACGAACGTACCTCGAAGTGAAGGTTAGTAGGTAAATTTTGCTCCATCTGTACCTTGAGCCAATGCATTTGCGCCACCTCCAAGGCAGCGTCCCGGCTAAAAGATGGGTGCCGGGTTCTTGTGGCGATATTAAAGTATACACCCTAACTAAGCTCACGCGATCATTGAAGTTCGGAGTGAAGGACGGGATCTACCTAGGCTGAAATTTGCTCCGAAAGTGGTCCGACTCTTACGGTAGACCCGGACGCCGCCCACACAGCAATATCGATTTGCAAGGCCAGAGTGCGTATAGCGCACACAGTCATGAGCGCTGTTTGTAGACTTCGTGGACCCTCTTTCGCGCTGCAAATTTCTGTCGTCGCTTAGTGAGGGGGTCTGCTGCTACATTACTACCAGAGCCAGGTACGCCCACTCTGGTGGGACGCTGCTTTTAGGACTGTCTGCACAACCGATCGTTAGAAGCAGTTTGGAGCGTCTGCAGGTTTGAATTCTGCTAAGCATGTAACGGCTCTCCAGACTTCTTGAGGAAAACAGTTCAGAATTTTAGATGCCTAGCGGATTTGTTTTTCCCGACTAGTTCTGCGCAACAACCATTCCAACAGGCGCACTCAGGCTTGCCTTGGATGCCATGATTCGAAAAATTGCTGAGAAATCGCCAAGGCCTTCTAGGGGATCCATTGGTTCAACGAGTGAAGATCAACGAAGATCACCAACTCGATGTATATTGAAATGTGATACATACTGATTCCAGTGCGATTTTGGATTAGTGACCTTACTGTAACATCATTACAACACAAGAAACACGTCTCGATAATATTACGCAGAATCCTCATCTTTAGAGAATGAGTGGCTTCAATCAGTGACGTACATAGTGCATGAAGTCACATTAGTTCGCAGCAGGAAATAAGACTGCTTTGCATAAATAGGTATGCAAAGCAAATTGAACCAATTATTTGAGTGGGTTGGTCCAAGTCTCTGAAAAATGAAGCTTGTAAGGGACTATATCCTGCCCCTTTCCGAAAAAGGAATACATTGCTTGATGCGATTTTTTCTTAATGGCAAGTCCATTTCATGATGCTTGTCAAACATATGTATGCTCGCTGTCCATTCTCATCTGCTGCTTTCGCCAAATCTTAACAGAATGGTCTGTCAAGTCTGCATGAATGCTTACAGAATTTTCCTGTCATCCACCTTCACAGCGCGGCGGAAAGAAATTCATAATTTTTACGCGTTCACACCTTAAGTAGTAGAAAGAAGTAGTAGTTCTTTGTGATAAATACAGAAAGAAGTAGTTAACTCACTTTTGAAATGAAGGTAACATGTTTGAAATGTCCACCTCACTTGGATGGCCCGATGTATGGAAACCTCAGAATTCGCTTAAACTTGGCCCACAGGGGTTATTTGACATTCTAGTTATGAAAAGGATGCTCTTAGGCTTATACTGCTCTTTTATCACGCTTACTGTACGTATACGATGGTAGGGTAAAACATCAACGTGTTAGTACTTTACACTGTACCTATCTGACATTGTTAACGAATCATGTTATCGCCAATATCAGCTCACCTCGATAAGCCCCCTCCCTCCCCCCGACCCCTCAATATGACCCCACCAAGTGTGGCATGCCACACCCAACGCTTTACCCTGCTTGAAACCGTGGCTATGGGAAGGGAATCACACCGCGCGCCGCGGCCGCTCGTTGCGCTCAAATTTTGGGACTCACGAAAATTTTCCGTGCTGAAGTGGCACCGCATGGGGGGGGGGGGCATATAAAGTGCGGTTCATAATTATACGAACACCTAAAATTTTGTAAGTTTTCGGACTTTTTGAGAGAAACTCAAAAAGCCGTTGGTACCACGCGATAGAACACAACCGAAAATGGTATATGATCCATAAGAAGGGAAACTGATGTCAATCTTAGCGGTGTTTTTGCGATTAATGCGAATTTTTAGCGGTTCATAATTATACGAACACCTCAAACAAAGGTCCATTTTCCATTCAAGATTGCAATCATCTGAGTCCAAATTTTTTGTAGAGTTACAGTAACAAAGTCTAACATATCTGCTACACACTGAACCCAGTGCAGTTCAAAAAGAGGGCCGTTACTTTTTTCAGAATTCTCTAAATGCTTTTGGAGTGATTGTGCTCCAAAAACATCCGTTCTTCTGTGGTTTACGCGCTCTAAATAGCTTTTACCAAAGCTATGAGATAAAATAAGCTCTTTCTATAGGTATTTTGTTTGTCGCTTGGAAAATCTTTGCGTTTTCGTGCCGTTTTCCAACCAAGTTCCAACCTTACCACAGAGTTAGCGCGATTTCGAGCCTCAATACTCAGCTTCTCTCTTGTGCAAACATTTAATATGAAGCAGCTGCATTGTTTGCATGATGATGTTTCTGTGCCAAAGTTTTTGGGTTTTTTGTAGAACTGATTTTGAGGCTGTGGAGCTACAAACCAAATAAAGGTGTGACTGCAATAGTAAAAACAGTGTTTTTGGTGAAATGACGTCTGCGTGGCCAAAACAAACGCTCAACGCTGCTGATTTTTTCTAGCCAAATATATAGTTTTGTGAACTTCTACATACTATATGCTTACTTCATTGTCGGCTTCAGAAGTTGAGTTTTGAGGCTCGAAATCGTGCTAACTCTAGGGTAAGGTTGGAACTTGGTTGAAAAACGGCACGAAACCGCAAAGATTTTCCAAGCGTCAAACAAAATACCTATCGAAAGAGCTTATTTTATCTCATAGTTTTGGTAAAAGCTATTTAAAGCGCGTAAACCACAGAAGAACGGATGTTTTTGGAGCACAGTCACTCCAAAAGCATTTAGAGCCTTCTGAAAAAAGCAACGGTCCTCTTTTTGAACTGCACTGGGTTCAGTGTGTAGCAGATATGTCAGACTTTGTTACTGTAACTCTACAAAAAATTTGGACTCAAATGATTACAATCTTGAAGAGAAATGGACCTTTGTTTGAGGTGTTCGTATAATTATGAACCGCTAAAAATTCGCATTAAGCGCAAAAACACTCCTAAGATTGACATCAATTTCCATTCTTATGGATCATATACCGTTTTCGGCTGTGTTCTATCGCGTGGTATCAACGGCTTTGTTTTTCTCAAAAAGTCCAAAAACTTACAAAATTTTGGGTGTTCGTATAATTATGAACCGCACTTTACATGACTCGATGCCGTAAGTAACATAGCGATAGGAGTAAGTAACAGTAACAAGTGACATAGCGATAGGAGAAGCTAGTCTCTTGTACTTCTTGACTTCGGCGACGTCGTCTTGCCTTGAGTCAGGAGCTCGATTAATCGTGACTCCCGACTGCACCCTGAAACCTCTTCAATAGCAAACCTTTTGAATCTCCTATCACATAAATTCCGTTGGCTAAAAGGTTATCGATGCCATGTTGGCTTTAAAGATTCAAACGAAGTATCATGAACAACTTTTCAGTCTTAGAGACTGATTTCGAATCAAACGGATGTTTTCAGAGACTCGCATCGTGTGTTTCCGAATGTAATCTACACGGCTGGCTCAATACAAGTGTGGAGCAAATGTGCGATGACCTAGGTTATCTCTCTGAAACCGTAAGTTATGGTTTTTTCACAAGTTATGAAATGATCTTCTCAGCTATGCAAAACGAGTGAATCTTTCAGACTTTTTATATTTTTATATTTAGAATCATTAACTTTAGTATTGGACATATAAGAGTGGTCGAGATATCGCTCATTGCCAGCTTGTGTCCACTCCTCAAATTCTTGTTCATAAATCTCTGTGTTATCGATAATCCTGAAAATATTTTGTGAGGATGCCACACTCACGCAAGCTTGTAAAGGCCTTCACACGGAAGCAAAATCTCGGCATATTCCTGTCCTAAGTATATCTACTCGTTTTCTGACATGTCACCTCATGTTATGGAAGATATACAAAGTCTGCTGGCTACTCAAGTAATCTTTGCAAAAATCACAAACACGGAAACGTTTGATCTGGAAGACGTTTCTATATCTGTGTTCTGCATCCATTCATGAGCTTCAAAGAACAGTTCGGCCAAAATTGCCTTCTTTGTTGAAGAAGAGTAAGCTGTTGCCATATACCTATCAGCGCAAATCGAACTCAGCTAGAGCGCCTTCCGCAATGTTTGGACTACCGATGCATTGAGGGAAAAGAAAGGAAGATGGCGCTCCACCTCTTTTCTTTCCAATCTCCTTAGCCCTCTGAGCCTTCTGAGAATAGAACCGTAACTGCTACTATCAGGCATGGGTCATAAAATCATGCTTCCGAATGAAATTTTCGAGGTCTGTAACTAAAGCTGAGGAGAAGTCAGCGAAATGCTCAAATTCATTCGACTCAGCGTTTCATATTCTGATTCAACAAATTTCTGTAACTTAGGCAGTTTTGCGTTCTATCTATTATCGAGATTTTTGATTCTCTCAGCCCTACTTTTATAAATAACTCATAGGTGACGATACAACCGCTCGCACTGCGCAAGTCTTTGCTCTCAATTCTAGATCCGATAGTGCAACATGCATAGAAAAATTACGCATGTTAATTTACGCTATCCAGCCTGAAGCCATAAACGAAACTGGTAATTGCTACATCGGCATCTCCCACGCATGTGTTCTGATCTAATTACGATAGTAGTCTGCATCCGAATTTATACTATGAATCGCAGACTAAATGATTTGGGGCATCACTGAAACACTTTCAGAGTTGGGTTAGTTTCTATCATGATCGAAACATTGATCGATACAGCAAATTTTTCCAACAAAAGAGGCGTATTGGCAGTATTTGCATTTTCGCAAATTTTGGATTATGATGTTTACAAGTACAGATAATTTGCACATTTTATCGCACATAGAGGCCAATTTAGGGGGAGGGGAGGGGACGCTCAATTAGACCTACTCTTAGTTCAAACGATTGTCAAATGTGCAGATTTTCGTAGACGTTGTTGTAATGACCAGAGTTTCCAGCAAATTCATCCTTCATCGGCGGTCACTGAGGCGCAGAAACGGGGATTGGCATATCTGCTAATGCTTGCGGCAAACGACGTGTGCATCGGAAAGATGAATGGAGATGCATCTTGTTCGTGGTTCACTAAGGAATCAGCCATGGATGTCATGACCGATATTGAACGAGGAGCGCCACTGGATGAGGTACTTGATTTTCCAAATGTTTCAAAAATTTTGCTTTTCTCGATTGAAGACGATATGTATATACTAGCAACGTCTTCAAACGATGATTACAAATCTAATTTCCCTTTCTGCGAAATTATTTCCGGAAGAAATTATGAGCGCTTGGAAAGTTCAAATTTGCAACTGAGTGCCGTTGCATTCCCAGGGTAGTTTATGTATGGAAGAAACGGCAGATGGTAAGGAAAACGAAAGAGCGCTCGATCAGAGAGACGCGGATACGTTCGCAGGTTTTGGCCGTTGTCGCCTATATAAAGAAGTATTAGGTTGTCAAGAAAATAATGTCGTTTTTCATAGCAAAGCCATAGGACAAATCCAAAAAACTATGTGAGGGGTACCCTTCGATAGAGCAAAGGAAGCTCTACAAGATGACATCCGAATATTGGCAGAATTTGTTGTTTACGCAAAGTTCAGAGCCAAAACATACGAGCAACTCGTGGTGCCAAAAATTGGATTTTCGCCCTAGTAAATCCTGCGAACCTCTCACTTGCTCCTGCTTGTAAAGGACATACACACTTATCCATAGGTACACTTGCTATATTTTTTCCATGCTAAATGGAAAATGGCAGACTCCGCCCCAGTAGTACTGGGCCCCTCCCACATATGCCTTTGTATACTACAAGGCTTCGTAACTTTAACCATAAAATTTCGGTCTTGGATATGCTCTAGATCTCGAGTAATATCAATTTTACACGAAAAAACCCGAAAAAAAACGACATTATTTTCTTGACAACCTAATAACACAGCCTGCGGAGGTTCGCATAGGTGTTTTCGTCGGTTTTCCGCTAATTCTATGCCACTTAAGTCTTGACATATTCAGACTTTCATAGTTACGATTTCTTTCGGTCAGAAAGGGAAGCAGATTCAAAACCAACGTTCGAAGACGCGTTCGATGATATACATTTCATTTTCAATCGTTAACTAAGTTTGATGTCCTTGCCTTGTAAGAAGGAAAACCCAATTTTCTTATTTTGATACTTGACGTTGAATGTATGCATAAAGCGCCGTCCTTCAAAGAATTTTATAAAGGCAGGATCAGGGGCGTGCTGCACCACACCTGAAGCAACGTACTGATCATCAATGGGTTGAAAGTCGTAACTGAGCGTGGGTCGGAGCAAGCGAAGCGGCCTCCAAGAGTTCCGCTTGAAACCGATTTCTTGCTGCATTGATCCTCAAAGTTCTATGTTTAAAGGATCGTGAACCCTCTCTCCATTCACATCTACACTTTTTTGGCCCATGCATTTCTTCGAAATCAATTTGGATTTTTATGGAACCCCTGCTGAGGTTCCAGCCATCTCTTTTCATTTCCAATTTTAACTGTACAAGATTCAAAACACGCAGTTAGCACTGAATACTTCTTGATTCTATGAGTAGCCCAATATATAAGCTACTCTAATTTCACGAGTACAAAACGCACTTTTTCGATTTTTTAAGCGGGGACTCAACCTCGTCGTGTTTCGGAAAACGAAACTTATGCCGAACAATGCTCTCAGGCAACACGCAGTACCTTATAAGGGTTCTTTGGTCGCAAAATGTTTTGGTGTGTAAGCTGGTCGAATTACAAAAGAATAGGTGCGTTCTGTACTCGTGAAATTGGGATAGCACCTAAAAAGCTCTTCAGAAGGCAATAGACACCAGTCTATAAAAAGTATGGCTGTCATTTTTGGTAAAATATTCCATACCGCATTGAAAGCAGTGGCTCGTCAAAATTAATACATTCACGACAAGGTCGATTTGATGGATCACCTTTCGGATCAGAGCATATTGCGCAATATTGAGTTTGCGTAATATTTGCTGGCCACGATGAGTCCTACGGTTTCTGTTTATCTTTCAAATGTATTACAAGAGATGTATTACACGTTTATACAGTCTGCCCAAAAAATTTCATCGTAAACTAGCAATGTCAAAAACTTCAGAAGCAGTGGGTGGGTCGCATTGTCCGAAATGGCAGAACGCGTACACCCACCGGTGGGTTATTGTAGTGACTGTTCAAACATGTCGGAGTTTTGATATGGTCGGCTGCCTACAAAGCATGCTGCCCCTGCGAGGTAAAGTGTCCCAAACTTATGCGCGAAGCCATTCTGCACGCGCCCGGACGAGCTCGCGATTTCCTGCAACCGCAAGGGTCCCGCAACGACTCTGCGCCTCCAACTTTGGCGGGAACTTTTCCACTCGTTCAAATGCAAATCAAGGGGCTTTATGAAGTGCTGGTTTTCGCCATTTTCACGCACTCTAACTAGGGGCGGACACAGACTCGAAGGTGCCAACTGAGGTAAGCTATAAATTATCTGAATCAGCATGAAACGCTGATTTCAAATCTGTAATCATTATCTGCCAAGCTGTTCCCTAAAAGGAATTGTGAGCCCTGATCCTCGTTGACATGTCTTTGGTTAAGTATGGTTCGCACCTGGAACACATTAGTGGTCGTCCGGTGTAGTGTATAAGCGCGGAGCCTGTAGAGCAGATGGTCGAGGGTTCGAATCATTTTTCTTTCCAACATTTTTGCAAGTCAAGGATATATTGGCTTTGCGATAAGGGTTATGTCGAGGGTCTGGCACACGTGGCTTGCAGGCAAGCTGAATATCGTTTTTGGGACAAGGAGCAAAGGGGTATCGTTTTTGAGGCCGAAAAGACGCAAAAATTGTGACTTTTTTAGTCAAAGTTTCGTTTTTTGAGAGCTTTTTCACTTTTAGGGTTTACAGTCAAAGGGACTTCGTAAAAAATCGAGAAGCCAAAAAGAACTTCGTTTTTTGCGTTTTCCAAAGCCACCTCGTGCCGAGCCGTGGTTATCTCGCGCACATGTACAGTATACTTGGGGAAATTCGAAATTTTTTTCGAATACTCGAATATCGAATATGTTCGAAAATTGAAAATTTCGATTATTCGAATATCAAATAATAATCGAAAATCGAAATTTTCGAATATTCGACTATCGAATATTATTCGAGAATAAAAAATTTCGAATGTTCGACTTTCGAATATTATTCGAATATTCGACTATCGAATATTATTCGAAAACGAAAATTTCAAATTGAATAATATTCGAATATCGAAGATCATTCGTTATTCGAATTTCGAATATTATTCGGTTCTCGGATGTTATTCGATTTTCGAACACTGATCGAATAATTTACGTCGTTGAGACTGCCTATGAAAGGCCAAAACATCCAAGGATAAATTGTTTCATGTAAGTGTTAAGAATGGACACTTTCTCATGTTACAATTTATGATGGAAAAACGGTTTAGTCGTGACGTGACGTGAAGAGACTTAGCAACCTAAAAGCTACTCCTGTGACTTTATGAAGAAATTTTTCATACTTCAAAGAAGATTCTATACCTTCACTGAAAGTTGCGATTGGATATACAGCAGTCACAACGGTATGTAGATGTGTAGGCTAACATCACCTTAGAGTATGGTGCGATTTATCAATCGCTTTTCACTGCTGTAAAATTACCGTAAGATTGAAGCGGAATTTGGAAACATCAAGAGCCAGTTCCCAAAAAAAAAATCAAAAGGGCCGAAAGTATTGCATTAGACTTCCTATGTAGAATTTGCTCAGCCGCAATGCTTTTTTCAAAACTTACGCCAGGTACACCGTAACAACTGTTTTTCAATGCCTTTCAAAAATGTGCTTGCCGTTTGAAAAGCTTGGAAACTCGTGCGTAGTAAAATTAGCATACCTGAAAACACTCACAGATTTTAAACTTTTTGGGAAAATTTTTTTGGATGTCTTATTTTGCAGTTGGTCTATATGCTGGAATCTCCTACCGTGATAACACAGAATAAGAAAAACATGGGTGATTCGCTTTCTGCTGTATTTATAAGCTGAAGCCATCCCTACTGCATGTTACCCAGAAATTGGCAAAAGACTTTGAGAGGTATTAACGATCAAACGGTGTGTAGATATTTTTAAGACACCCCGTACACGCTATGCATATCAAATTTTCGAATCACTTCTTATCGAATTTCCGAATATTCGGTGCACAGCGAATATTCGAATATTTTATGGGCATCGAATGATCGAATGGATGACCCGACATCGAATAATATTCGAAAGTTAAGATTTTCGAATATTCGACTTTCGAATATATTCGAAAACTGAAAATTTCGAATATTCGACTTTCGGATTTTATTCGAAATCTCAGATTTTCGAATCTTCGACTTTTCGAATCATTCGCCCTCGAATGATTTATTCAAATGATCGAATAACTATTCGACTCGGTCCCAAGTATAATGTACAGGCTCCAAATTATATTCTACTACTGAAAAGTTGAGAATTTCGCAACTTTATTTTACCAAGGTTTCAGCATTGTGTGAGCAGTAAATGGAATCAAAATTTCATGTATGCGGTTGACACCGTGGTGTGATTTCTACATGTATATATTTTTGCTGAAAATTTTACATTTCGATCGTTACATATCTCACTGACACATTTTAAGAAATCAGATATTTGAGCGCATATTTGATAGGATACAACGAAGTGCTCGAAACAATTTCCCGCAATGAGCACATTTGATGAAAACCAGTTGAGTGCAGTCATCAAATTCACAGCTGCCTAGTATGAAGAGCAACAGTATTGAAACGGATTCTCGAAGCACATTGTCACCCACATACATAAGGTTTGATTCCATAAGCTCACTCCTGGCCGAAGCCTTGATAAAAAAAATCGCGAAAATCCCAACTCAACAGTAGAATGTAAATTGGAGTCTATGCATGTGCGCGGGATACCCCTTACTGCGCAAAGCAAACATATCAGCTTGGGAAAATGTTGAAAAGGATTCGATCACCTGTTCCATAGACTCCGCGCTTATCCACAACACCAGACGACCACACTTGGTTCGCACGTGCTTGACGTGCTACTGAACGCTCGCAGGCGTGGCTTGTGCACTACTGGAATATTCGAAATTTTTTTCTCGAATAATCGAGTAGTCGAATATATCCGGAAATCAAAAATATTGAATAGTCGAATATCGAATGTCTTCGAAATGAAAAGAATTCGAGTAATCGAATATGTTCGAGAAAAAAATTTGAACAAATGAATACTTTGCATCGATTTGTCGAATATTCAAACAAATTTTGATCAAGTTAACACAATGAAGGACTCCATGTGAGCAACTTGAACAACAAACGATATTTGCTGATACAATCACGAAAATGCGAATAATCGAATAAGTAATGAAAGTAGATATTCAAATGCTCGAATATATTCTAAAATCAAAAATTTTGAATAACCAAATATCGAATAGAATCGAAATTGAAATTTCGACTAGGCGAATATATTTATATATAAAGTTGAATGTCTGTTTGTCTGTCTGTTCGTCTGTTTGTCTGTCTGTCTGTCTGTCTTACGTATGTATCGAATAGAAAATTCCATTTCTGAACTGATCCGGACCAAACTTGGCACACATAGACTTCGGGGCAGGGCGGGTGTCATAGGTACTTTTCGTCATCGATCGATATCGATTTTTTGTAAAGTTTGATCTACGGGACTGGGAGTTGGCACAGGAGGGTAATCGAGCATGCTGATTACGAGCACAATATTAGTTTTGAAATTATCTGTTACTTTTATCGATTTACCGATTTTTTTGCAAAGTTTGAGCTACGGGGTAGGGATTTGGCACAGGGAGGGGGGCAATCGAGCATGCTGATTACTAACACATCGTGAATAGGAAATTGGAATGTAGAAGTGGGCGCAGGGAAGGTTGTACAGGATAAGGGTGGAACCTTTATTGCTTTGGCAGGGCCGGGGGGAGCCGGATAAGCCAGCTAGTCGAATATATTAGATCGGTCTGAAAGTTTTGTCGGCTTTTTGAAATGGCTCGCAAATCCCGTACATTAAAGATGAACAAACAATTCAAGTGGTATCCGATGCAGAATCTTCCACTTTTTGGCTGCCATATTCCCACTGTGATTCATTGAGGGGGTGCTGAGATAATTGCTGGACATTACAACCCTTTGTTTTCACCATCTCAGACAATTTGAGGGAACTCCCGAAGGCTTCAGCGGAATCTCCGGAGGATCACCTGCGGAAGTACCGCTATCGTCTTCGGGAAGTTTCCTCAAGGCTCTCGGGAACTTCCGATTGGGAACTTTAGCAGGCCTTTTTCACTTGTCTGTGTGCACCATCGTAAAAATATTTTCCGCCCTTTCTTCCGATGCTTCCATCGTACACATTGTTGCACTCACGAGAGTTTAAAAGAATCATTTATTTATCTGTTTTTCGTGGCAATACATTCGCGTAGAAACATTGCGATGATAATAGAAAAGAAACTGCCAAAAATGTGCTACAGAGATCACATCAGTGAGAATTCGTGGAAGCAACGACTGAGCGTTGATAGTGAGCTTGATACATGAGGCATAACAGAAGAAAACCAGAAGAAGAAAAAGGAAAGAACAAATATAGGAGCTTGCTGTTGACGTCATTGCTGTTGATGTCATTGTTCTCGGGAGGTTCCCATTTTTTCGCCTTCTTTCAGCTCAGTACTAAATCAAGCCCTCGGGAAGTTTCGCAAATTAGCTTGTCCTCGGGAAGTTCCCGTGATTTGTCAGACATGTCTGACTTCCGCCAATTTCCAGAATTCTAAACTGAGACTTTCGGGGAAGCTTTGATAGCCAGAAGATAGAACAAACCTTTTGCCAGCTAAAGTAATGTTGTCTTTTTTGGCGAGACACGCGAAATTTGCGGAGAACATTGTGTATTTCTCGATCAGGAGTGCGCACTGATGTACCCTAAGTTTTGGAATCTTCATAATTTGAAACGGAAATCGCTCATTTACTTCGTAAGGATATAGATAGTATTGAATCGAGTTTTGAATCGTCAATACTCTGAAGATTTTGTAGTATTTTGTGCAGTAGCAGGTTGTAACCAAAACTCGAGACCTTTCAGATTATTTGACAAAATACCAAAAGAGTAGCTGGAAAAAAGAAAAAGTTCTTTAATTGGCAAAAGGTTTGCCCTATTTGCTGGTTGTTGAAGCTCCTAAAAGTCTCATATAAAATTTTTGAATGTTAGCGGAACCTGGACATGGTGAAAATGAGGAGTTGTAATTTCCAGCGATTGTCTCAGCGCTCTCCAAAATTGTCGCATCGAAAACATAGCTGATGGAAAGGGGAAGGAATTTTGCATTTGATACTGCTCAAAGCGTCTGCTTACCTCTACTGTGAGGAATTCACGGATAAGAAGCGACAACACTTTCGGACCGACCTTACATTCGTTTGAAATTTTCGAATAATCGAATTTCGAATACATTCTATTCGAATGCTTACTCAGACAAATCATCAGAACTTCCGCAGGACAAGCCAAATTTGCGGAAGTTCCGCAGGACTTTGTTCACTATCGCAAAAATGAAAACGTTGAAAATCGGAACTTCCGCGGGATTTTCATGCTAAACTGTGAAAACCGGAACTTCCGCAGGACCTTCTTCAAATTCCGAAAAACGCCAGAGGTTCCGCAGCACTTTGGCCTGCCAGAACTTCCGCAGGACTTTGAATGCGTTATCTCGATATGTTGCCTCGCCAATACTAGACATTATCGAACATGTTAGCCGTAGCGTAGAAGGATAGTAGGTGGGTCTCACAGTCAATAGAGTGAGATTCAAATCTCACTTCGGTGTTCTCTTTTGCTTTGTGGTTGGCATTCTTCGGAACGCAGGACCTCATTTCGGAACTCCCGCAGCACTTATTTATGGAACTTCCGCAGGTGACCCGGCGGAACTTCCGCAAACGCTCTGCGGAAGTTCCGGTCATTTGTCTGAGTATTCGAGTACTCGAATATTTATTCGATTCGATTCAAGATATATTGTACATACCATCGGTTGCATACTTGCTTGTTAGTAATGCTTTCGTTTAGATTAGCTGGAGACTTTTGGGCAGTTGCTGTGACGTTTCCATTGAGTTGGTGGACATGACGACACAGCAAGTGGAAACGATTCGTTTGGGAGCGTCACCTCAGTACACTACATGGCTTCGAGTCTCGCAAGCTTCTGCACCTCAGCCGTTGTTTTACGTGCCGGATGACTGAGACTGCGAGGCAAATACTGGCTGCCACTATACTGCTCATAAAACATTTCACATACGCCAGTGTCGCAATTTACTGTGCTGTGACTGCAAATACTTTACTCAGGTACAAATTGCTTAGTGACAGATCTAACAGATTTATCCTAACTTTGATCGTTTCCTCCAGCATGTTCTGTAACAAATTTTCTTTCTATGTCGCACATGCGAGAATCATGCTGCACCGTGAAATTGTACTCTATTAGGTTCATTTCTAATAGATCAAATGCGATTCTGACGTTTATCAGAGCTCTTTGAGGAGGGACAAAAGGGAATGAACTGCGAGTTGGATCTTAGCTATGTCAATATATTGATATCTCAAGCAGCGCTAACGCACTCGGAATTTCTTCACGTATGGAATTCGGTCAACATAGATTTTCCATAGTAAGAGCCACCTTAGCAGCCAAATAAAGTTGAGAGGATTGTGAAAGGAGCGCGCGCTTCTTATTGTGATCGAGTTTTGTGATAGATCTAGTAACCTGCGTCAAATGTGTATAGATAACGGTATGCATTATCTCCTCATCTGATGAATACTGTATCTCTCATTGTTCCTTACTTTGTTTTGTACTTCCAGTGTTCATTGCCTTAGACTGTTCCTATCCGGTAGCTCCATTATGTATTAGATGATGGTATTACGTCATCTCGTGATGTTTAGAGAACTTGTATGATGTTGAGTTTGCTAGAATCATCGCGAGGTCATATTTTAGACTATTACCTTTTTCAATATAAAGATGTCTCAGTAATTTTGCACAAAAGCGTGATTTTCATACTATTGGGGTCTTTACCAAATGGCAAATACGGCAAAGTCATCGTCTGGATATACCATTCGCTATGATCCTTAGTGAGGGAACAAATGCTTTGTATGTGAAACTATGCCATTCAGGAGTCCTCCGACAGATTTTCATCATAGATCGCCGCCGTCGCACTTGTTCTGCTACGGTCGTAACGGGGTGGTCTAGTGGTAAGTCCCGTTTGAACTTACTAGCGGCCCAATGGCTAGCAGGTGTGAGAAATATCGTATTGAGTCACCAGAGCCTCGTATAACACTTTTTCAATGCTGTAAAAGCCAATAAACTTCGTCTAGTGTTTTGATTGAAAGCTTCTGCTAGGAAGGCATGCTGCGCATATAGTTCTAATGACGAAAGTACGACTGCTTGCAGAAGAACCGTGGAGTCAATAAAGATGTCGCATTCAGTGAAGCTCATTTTGCAAAATAGAAATGCACACCTTAATCGCGCTTTTTCTCTAGACTCACCCTCGCATTAGATGAACGAGCAATGCTCCTTCTTTTCGTACAGCATCCTTCCCGTAGTTCCCTTTTCTGTGGCTTTTGTTAGCTGATGTATTGTATCTACCGTAACCCGATAAAATGACGCTACGGTTCAAAACCAATGTGATATTTGGCATCAGCGGGTCGAATAACCCCTCTGGGCCAAATTTCGGGCAAATCCGTGATTTTGACCCCCTATCGTAATCCTACCGTAACTCCACCGGATGGCGCTGTCGCACGAAATAAACATCATATTCGTTTTCAGCGTACTAAATAACCCCCCTAGACGAAGTTTTAGCGAGATTCACGATTTTCATTTTTGGGTCAACTTATGTGGAATAGTACCGGTTTTTGTATATAACTTTTATCTCCTTCTTAAATCTTGAAAAGACTTTCTGAAAACACTTCTTCTCGCTACAAACCTTTTCTTCTTCACATAGTTACAGTTCTCAAGTTTCTGAAAGATGGCAGCAATGCTGCTCCAAACATGCGGCGGTGCGCGCTGACACAGATGACCCCAACGCAAACTGAACGAAGATCAGTGTTTTTTGAAGTGTTTTTTAAGCAATTCACTGTTATCTACTGTTTCTCGTTTTCTTCTCCCCAAGCAGCCCCATAGTTCATGAAAGTGATGGGAATAGTAACAAAAAGTCAGGAGACTTTGTTTATCGAAGATTGCTGGAGCCATCTGGTGTCTGGCCTTGTCTTCAAAAAAGTACGGCCCTGTAAAGATTTCTAGTATAGTGCACATGAATCATCATCAGAGCACATGCATGCTTTGCTATACGCAGCTGGTCATGTAATTTGCATTTGTAAAGATCACGCATGAATTCAACTAATCATGAGACCCTCGTAGTCATAAAAGCATAACTTTCCAATGCAAATGTTCACGTATGCGCCTTTCCTATGTCGTCGAATTATATATGTTTTCAGCGAAAATGAATCATTGCGCAATGTTGCAAGATATCTGCTGGGAAGAATTCGAGAATATTGTTTATGTACGCACTCGTCAACTTTGTTGCTCAGTGTATGGCATTTCATACCACCACAGTTCAGATCGATGAATACAAAGAGAGAAAAAAGCTGCGAGCGCAACGATCTATCAAGCGCAAGTGATGCATGCCTGGTGTCATCACTAAAAAGGATGTGGTGTTAATTCTGTCGTAACAAACTCTTATCCATTACGATTTGCATCGCTACGCCGATCTTCAATCTGACCTCAATTCTTACTCTTGTTAGCACCAATTAGGTGCAATCATAAGGCCTTTTCTCAGTGATACATTTGGCATTCAGTAAGCTGTTAAAGTTTCTTCATAGCTTCATTGGCTTCGTAACAACGATTGAGACTATAGGCAGTATATTGCTAGATTCAAGTTATAATGGATTCGCGGACTGCACAAGGCATTGAGGACCCTCTTATTGGACCATTACACGGTTCCATGCGATGAGGCCTCCTAACGTTGTGGCTACACTCAGAGTGCATGTTAGAGCGCGACTGGCTTGCGAACGAATGTCCAATTCACGTTTCAAACGTATTTTTAGTCGAAACTTTTCAGCCAATGTTTTCCTTGACAGTTGACCTTGCGGAGAAACCTACGGTAGAGAGATACCTCGTCTGCTTGCTTTACAATGCATTCGAACAAAGTGATTTTTGAGATTTTTGAGATTTTTGAGAAATCGAACCTGGTAGAGTTATGCAGGATCGGAAGGCTTGTCTTTTGCAAAAATTTTGGAACCCAAATTCCAGTGAGACAATGGTTTGAACGCAGGCACTTGTGCATCCAGTATACCAACACTAATTGTAGTATTAGGCTAAAAACTAAGTTTTGCAACTTTCTCAGTAAGTTTCCCCTCTTTCAACATAGCACACACAAATTTTGCATTATTGTTGGTCGAGATGTAAGCTACAAGCTTTACCGTTACAGTGGGGGTTAGAGTAGGTTTATGGTTGAAAAGGAAAATAACGAATTGTTTTGGCTAAGACTTGGCTCAGCGGGACTATCCGACATGCTGATTTTGCGGATGCTGAAAATACAAGGTAATAGCTTTTTGTAAAATTAATGTGGGTTACATGTAGGGGTTTTAGCTTAAGAAAAAGCGTTAGTTAAAAGATGAATATCATTTTTGTATTTGGCGGATCAAATAACCCACTGTGCGTAGTCTTGGCGATTTTGAGATTCCAACTCTTAAGTCATCAGCGGTTGTCTTCAACAGCCTTGAGTAAGCGACTTGTTTAACTCTGTGAGGGCGGCAAGTCTCGACTTGAATTAAAATTTTATTTCTTTCTTACTGAAGCAAATGAGTCAATCTCTGGCAACAGTTCGTACATAATTTCGGATCATTGTACAGCTGCTAATAGCTTTATTTTCGCTTTTTCATCCTCGCATTTGTCCCTTCAAGCAGGGTCTGCTTTTATTGTCAGTTGTGTCCATGTCCTTTTATCTAAAGCAGATTTTCATCTATTCCAAGGTTCTCGCAGGTCGGCTTTGATTCTGTCCAGCCATCTTGGGTCTGCCCCTAGGTCTTTCTCAGACAGTCGACGGCATACTTCCGGAGCAGAAATGGCAGAGCCGCGGGCTTTCCAGCGGAGGATTGCCACTTCGCGCTCCGGAGCCCTGCCATTTCACGCATTTTTGTGCTCTGGGGCTCTTCCAAAAGTGGCGCACCTCCGGAGCAGAGATTTGCGCGTCCCGGAGAGGGGTCCCATTCGTCTTGTTTGTGACGTCACCGTGAAGTCACGGTGAATGAATGGGACCCCTCTCCGCGACGCGCAAATCTCTGCTCCGGAGGTGCGCCACTTTTGGGGGAGCCCCGGAGCACAAAAATGCGTGAAATGGCAGGCTCCAGAGCGCGAAGTGGCAGACTCGCGCCATATGCCCGCCGGAGGTATCCCTTCGACTGTCTAAGTTTACCTGGTGACCGTTAAGACTAATTTCGTGATGGCTTTCGTTCCTTCTGCACGTATGCCTATACCATCACAATCTCTTCTCTTGCATTTTCTGGGCAACTGCTTATAACTCCATGAATCACGAAATTCATTTTTTTTCGAATTGCCTGAAACTTCCCTCTTTTATGTTTGAAATTTGAACAGTTCATGTGCTGTTGTCCACATTACAATTTACATGTTGCCAAAGTTTGAGTGCGCCGCATTCAAAAAGAGTAAAGATACGAAAGAAGTTGCAAAACAAACCTCTGTAGAGTTGTTTTGTAGTTTTCTACTTTTTTCCCTGTACTCAGAAATCGTGACGGGCGCTCAACGATCCAGATCTCTAAACTGATATAAACAGCAGTCATCAAAAAATTTTCTATTTCCTGTGTTGGAAACTATGCTTTGTCGTTTTGTTCCCTTGTTCATCATTCACTAGAAACTTGAAGGGGATCTCATACGACATGTGGACATAAGTCAATAGCTGAGTAGTTAGGAGAGTAGTTATCCACTGAAGGAGTTGTCGCAGCGCAGTCATAGGGGTTACAAGTTGTTATGAATGCTAACAGGAATGCTAACCGGCCCGGCACAAGTTTGCTTCTTTGGTTTACAGAATATTCGAAGGAACGGAATGTTTGAGAGGCGTAGGTCGTCGAAGATTTGGATCTTTATAACTTAAAGACAAAAATAATGTGAAGAGAATGCTTCGAATTTTTCTTTTTCCTGGAAAGTTAATCTTTGAAAAAAGAACGATTTTGTCAAAAAGAAAAAGACTCACGCAAAAACTTTATCGCCCAGAAGAAGCTCTTTTAGCCATTCGAGTTTTTTAAACTAAGTTGGCTTAAAAATTTGAGGAGACATCTCGAGGTTAAACATGCCTGCAATAACGTTCTCGAGTATCCTGGTCAAAAATAAATAATAAGTTTTTGGAGTTTTTATAAACGCAATACTGTGCACAAGAATACTGCACACAAGTAGTCCGCACTTGGTATCAAATGATACACTGCGCCATAAATAGGCTGACTATTTACAAGAGCTTTCAGACTCTTGTAAAGTGTAGAGTGTCACGTTCGGCGCGCCTCGGGCCTCGGAGCAGCGCCTCGCTTGGGCTACTCGATGCATGCGTGGACGTGCTTTGGAGCATTTTCCCACCCTCGTCAACCATTGATGCCTAAAGATGTATCCCACGCCTCAAGCGTAAAGAATACCGTGTCCGCTAAGGGCAAACGCGGCGGGAGACCTAAGCGGGGAGACGGCCCTTCTGAACCGCTAACATTAGCACCCTAATTACTGCGCGCCTCTGATTGGTCGGTGTTGCCGCCGCTTGGGTGAGCGAGAGCTATGCTGTCGTTAGAGACGTCTGAATTGGATTGCAAAGGCATTCTCATGATAAAAAGAATCAAACAAGATTTCGATTCCCATGAAACTCGAAAGTGTTTTATTTGGGCGGCTTAGTAAATTCTTCAGCTTACACGTGCACACTTCATGGCGTTTTGAAAACTGTGAAGGGCGAAGAAATCACGAAATGGTCTTAGAAACATGCAACCTTTCCAACTTTTTGTCTTCATAATTCAAACATCCTCACTATCATTGTCGTGTGCCTCACTTGCTTCGGAATGCTCAGAAATATTTGAAAACTCTGCTAGATTATGAAAAAGACGAAAAAGTAATTAGCGCTAGGACGGAGCGGTTCAGAAGGGCACACACCCCCTAAGCGAGGGGGTACGCGTGACATCACATAAAATCCCTTGTATTTAGACATTAC